CAGGGAAATGCTCTCCAGACAGAGCGGACACAGGACAGAAAAAAAGGCTGTGCAGGGACACTGGAAGGAGACTAAGGAAAATTAAGGGAAAGAAATAATAGAACCCAGACAGCCTGAGAAACAGGAGGGTGAGGGAAAGAAAAGAGTCCTGAACCGAGTGAGGAAGTTGCCCCAAAGAGAAGCCAAGGGGGTGCCCAGGAAGAGGGCAGAGAAAAGAAAAGTGCCAGGGACAGGGCTAAACAGGAACCAAACCTGGGCACTGAGGTGAGGAGACTGCACAGACAGAGCCCTGGGGTCCTGGACAACGGAAGCTGCCTCCTGGATGCAGGATGGAACCAACAGAAAAGGAGGCCAGCAGGGAGAAGTCCAGGATTTCCAGGGTGTAGGCCAGGGGAAATCAAGCAGTCAGAACAAGGACTGATTTACAGGGCTCCAGGGGGAGAGCCCTGGGGGCCTGGCAGACAGAAGCTGCCACCTGAATGTGGGATGGAACCACACAACTGGGAGGCCAGCAGAGGAGGAGTCTGGGATCCCCGGGGTGGAGGTCAGGCGCCTGTGTGCAGTCCGGTTCAGAAGCAAAAAAAGTGGAATGAATGATCTGGATCAGGGAAGCAGGACTGCATGGGAAGAGCCCTGGGGTCCTGGACAACAGAAGCTGCCTTCAGAACATGGACGGAACCACAGTAATGAGAAGCCAGGGAATCCAGGGCGGAGGTCTAGGATCGCCGCGCAGTCAGGAATTGGAACAGAGGTGGCAGTGTTAGAAAGGTCCTGGAACCACAGTGATCTGGATCGAAGTCCGAGCAGACAGCCTCAGCAGCGAGCGACATGGGTGGTCAGCGCCCAGACTGGAGATCTCTCCCCTGGCGAAGCAGCCCGGCAACGGAATAGGGCAACATCAGCTAAGGAGTGAAATCCTGGGCTGAGCTCCCAAGAAAAAAAAAGGAGAATGCTCAGGTACTATACCTCGGTTGTGGAGTGGGATTCTATTGCCGAGCCCCAAGGATTCGGAGTGGAATCCCGGTGTCGAGAACCGCAGACAGGGGTGCAGACGAGCTTCGGGATCCCGGGTGAGATGACCACCTGGAGAGGCTGCTGAGGCATCTGCCTGGGGTACCGGAGAGCAGATCAGAACAGGCAGAACGGTGGAAAGATAAAAACAGGAGTGAGGAAAAAAGTGCAGAGGTAAAAACTAAAAGGGGTGGCGGGCTCTGTCTTCAAATAGAGAAACTGAGTAACTAGTAGGAAATGGAATAATTGGACATTAATGGCAGATCACCTGAAGGAAAAACCATGAACCCTCCTGAGAAGGTGACAGTTTCCCAGGGTAACCGCTAGCCAGGAGGCGGCACACGAG